TTGCAGACAAAAGGTAGGGTCCAAATAGTCGATTACGGTAGATACCAATCCACACGTTCACACTAAATTCATGCTGAAAATTTCTTTCCCGAACTGCATGCGGATTTCCATGCGACCAAATATGTTGATTATGAAAATTTACCACTCCACGACTGGTGAAGAATCCACTGACAAAATGTGATTCTTCGTTCTCCGTCCCCTGGCTGTAGTCCTTGCAAATGGTAAGGACGTCTATGGTCATTTCTAAGAACACGGTGAACATGGCTTGCTGAAATTCCCAAGAAATCAGAAACTCTCCTAACACTCGTGGTCGGATCTCTACCAAACTCACGCAGAATCATACGGGTAAATCTGCGCTGACGAACATTTATGTTTTGATCCCCTTGGAGATTTCCAAAACCATTTTCAATTATTTGGCGATGCACTCTTACAAATACTGAGCGAGTTGGATGTCGTCTGTTTGGAAATCTTCGTGCGTATTCTCTGGCTGCTTCTGCTGCGTTTCCATTTACAAAGCCATACACAAAATGAATATCCGCTAACTCTTGATTGGAGAATAAAAATGGCATTTTTATAAAACTTACAAAAAAACAGGTAAAAGAAACTAAATTTCGTGCATTCACAATTGTAAAAAAACGTTTCAGGTTTCAACAGACAAGAAAACTAACTGTCAACTAATTGACGTTTAACCTTATTCTGCTTTCAATTTCAAAAATATTTGCAGGCACAGCCTACTTCTAAAAATTATCGAGATACTGACATTTTAACGTTATTTTATCATAAATAAATAAAAATGCATCGAACCTTACAAATCGAAATATCTCAAAAACGGCTAGCTATAACGAAAATTCGCAAGGGAGCTTTTTTATGTTGAAAAGTGCGAAGAATCAGTTTTTTTATTCAAAAAGTAAAAAATTGCACTAAGAAAAAATTTTCGGTCATTTTAATACACTACAGGTACAGTAGAGAGCGCCCTCTAGCGGATACAGTAAAACTGCGCCCATGGTTCGTTTTGTCGTACCAAAAAACCCTCGTATACCAATTTTCGCTGTTATACATCAAATATTGTTCGAAATATTTAAAAAGAACTATTTTAGAAAGTAAATTTCCACCCTGTATTTCGGAAGCCACGCATTTTGCGACCCATGTTTATATAGACTTTATGCATTAATTTTAAAAGTTCTATCGAATCTTAAAGGTATGCAACAATAAACTGAAACACCCTGTATATTACTTAGAGACCCTTTACAGCGGTCTTGATATATTCAACTATCACTTTTACGTTATGCATCTGTTTTATCGGTACGCCAATTTTTAGCTTGTCAACTTGACCCGTCCTAAAAATAAGTAAGCGAGCGGATGTTTTTGAAAAGCACTGTACGTATATTGAGCATTCGCAGATCTTTTTACTTGAGCAGACAATTTCATTTTTTATTCAACATCCTGGGTTTAGATAAACAAAAAATCGTTCTGTTAAAGTTTGTAGCAGTGTTGTAGCAGTAATTTCCAAATAGCTTCATTATCCTAGTAATATAGTATATATGCTAACAATTAACAAAAACGGAAAACATTTACTAATTTACGTCATGATCTACTTTTTCAACCTACTGGGTATCTGACTAATACTTTACTGTTTTAGTAGCGATTTGTACAGCTGCCTAGACAAAATTTTCTAAAACTAAAGATCAACGCAAATCTATACTCATACAAAAAACAACAAAAATACTTACTATTTCAGATGTGTCGATATGTATATGCAGTGTCGGATGTGGTGATGAGATAAGCTGAGCTGTCAGTTGGGTGTAAAATTGTGGTACCTTAGTAAATTAACAACAAGTTCTTATGTACAACATTTATTATATCATTACATCGACTCTTTGGTAAAATCTACTGACCACGTTTACTACTAACGTTTTATGTTCCAATACCTGTTTTGGATTATTTTGCTTTAATTATACAATACACATCAAGCACAAAGTATTACAGCTCTCAGTAATAATGAACTTATTACAACATTTTTTTGTATACAGGAATATATATATCTCTGAAACACGTCTGATCATAATGATTAAATGACAATTGTAACTACAAAGCATAACAATCGCTTACTTAGATTTTTGTAAGAACAGATGATATCACAACAACCACTTTATAGATGTGGTTGAAAAGCTGCTCGGTTTTTATTCTAATCTAAACAAACACATACCTAGAAAATTCATTATTACTGGGTGTTTTTTTTCTATGTTACTCAATATAAAGTTTTCACCGGCGTTGGCAGGATTTCTTTCTCAATAGACACAATAACATCCATTATACAGGGTGCGGCAGAGAGGACGGACGTTTTTGGGATGGGTAGTACTCTCCGCCTCCGTTTACGAGAGAGGTGGGGAGGGTGCCATTTGACTCGCGAGATCCTAGCATTATTTTACCAGTTGTCGTTATGGAGCCTTGGAGGGTGGAGCACCGCGTTTTCGCCTATGATTGTTTTGTCCGAAATAATGAGTCAGTCATCGTCGTGCAACGTGAGTTTCGTCGCCACTTCAACATTCATCGGAATAGAGCTGTTCCCTCTCGAAACACCATCCTTCGTTGGGTTGAATCACTTCGCAGGCGTGGTGAACTGATCAACAGAAGAGGAGCGCCGCGAACAGTTCGAACTCCTGAAAATGTTGAATGCGTTCGACAGGTCTTTCTTCGCAGTCCGACTCGATCTGCCCGGAAACATGCTGCTGCACTTTGCCTTAGTGATCGTTCGGTAAGGCGAATTTTGCATATGGATCTCCGCTTTCACCCCTACAAATTGGCATTGTGCAACAGTTACAGCCCGGAGATTATGCACAACGAATGAACTTCGCACGTAAGATGGAAGCACTGATCGATCAAAATGAGAACCTCATTTTGTTTATGAGTGATGAAGCCCACTTTCACCTAAACAGCATGGTTAACCAGCAGAATTGTCGTTATTGGGCTAATGAAAATCCGCAACAGTTACATGAAAGACCGCTGCACAGCCCAAAAGTAACGGTTTGCTGCGCTGTATCGCAAACTTGCATCATTGGCCCTTACTTCTTCGAAGACGGTAATGGTCGTGATGTTACCGTAAACTCAGAGCGCTACGTCGACATGATCACCAACTTCTTTCTCCCTGAATTACGACGCGTGTCGTTCCAGCAGGATGCGGCGACCGCCCACACAGCCCGAGCATCCATGGACGTTATTCGCCCTCTCTTCCCTGGTCGCCTTATTTCCAGGTTTGGCGATGTTCATTGGCCGCCTCGGTCCCCAGATTTATCCATGTGCGATTTTTTTTAAGGGGACACCTCAAGGCTAGAGAACAAGCCCCGAACTCTAGACGAATTGAAGGGTGAAATTCGCGTGGAAGTCGCCCAAGTTGAGACAGCGATGTTGGAGAGAGTCTACGCGAACTTCCAAGAACGCCTCCAGCACTGCATCAACGATTTCGGCCACCACATCCTGATGTGATTTTCCACACTTGACTGTCTCAAATACTATTTCCTTGTGAACCTGATTCCATCAATAAATTTGTTTTCGAGTAAAAATTAACTATTTTATGATTTTTTTAAAACCGTCCATCCTCTCTGCCGCACCCTGCACTTTACAAGTCACGGTTAAGTCTGGGAATCTGGCTCGGTATTATAATTAGTAGCAAACGTGAAAAGCAAGTCACATAAAAACTATAGCTGCATACGCTAAGTAAAGGCTATATCTCTGTATTACAAGGAACTTATCAAATAACAATACTAGCTGTGGAATGCTAACATTGATGCTAGAACATGTCATTAGAAATACATACCACATTCATTTTACAATAATTTATCTATGTTCCTGTTATCTTATTTGAAATGTTTTATGTCGGTATATTCTGAAAGCCGCCGTAAAAGATCTGATACAATGAAATCTAAATGTCGACCAGATAAGCCCCAAATTAGAAAACGTTTATGAAATTAGACATTACTCGCAATAATATTTGTTTGTGTAAGGCATATCAATACATTTAACAGTATAATAATATGCAAGTAAATTCTTCATTTGCTTCAAGTTCTACTAAAATCGAGATATGAAAACTTAAATTATTAAAAAATCAATTTTTATTGAAATTCTCCGATCAAAATGTCATTTTTTTTCTATGTAAAATACACGTTTCGGGTATCATTAGTAGAAAAGTGTGATTTAATTTTAATGGATATTTGGATTACACATGCAACTTGTAACTGTTATTTTAAATATGCTAAATCTCTGTCACTTAGAGTACGTGATTGGATATCTATACAGGGTGACTTCGAAGTTGAGTCATTTATTTTAACAGTGAGTAGATCTGATCAAAAGAAATGTTTTTTCCTTTACCATTTTTCTGGTAAAATTAAAGTAACAAAGTTATAGCCCTTTGGAAGTTTGAGTACCACCCTGTCTCAATAATAATATTATGTGCTCGTGTTTGGCGACAACGGATATAATCCGCCTTATCGGTTCATCGCATCGGAAACAAAAAAGCGAAAGAATTTGGAACGATGTTTTTACAATTATTTTATTTATTTGTATACAGTCAGTGTCAGTCGGTATCGCGTGAGTGAATAGTTGTGTCTGTTGCGTGGCTCAAACGGAATAAAAAATGGCACATGTTTATGCGGATCGGTTTCCCAATCGAGTGCAACCAACCCCTCGTGCCTTTGTTAATGTAGTACAACGGGCTCGTGAATCAGGTGACGGCATGCCGGTGCTCCAAGACCTCACGATCAAATACAGGTCCGCACTGAAATACTTGTCGGGAGGATACTTTATAAAACAAGGTAAAGTTTTTTTTTTATTTTTACACACATATTTTGGTTTATCTTCCTTCTACAATCATTATCTGAAAATTAATGACTCAACTTCAAAGTATATTCTAAAATTTTCTAATTATCAAATATGTGCTAAATGCACAATAAATACGCTCAAGCTAAAATACTTTATAATTGAATGTAGCTTATTCAACATCTTCATCATACAAACTCCTCTTCTTGCTGCATCTTACTCCCGACATTCAAGCATATATCATGCAAATGTATATCAGCAGTCTCCTCTTTACTATACTGACTAGCCAAAAATTTCTGAAAATCTTTCTTCTTTCCGCTATTAAAAATAATCACTTTCTCCGTGAATATATTAATATTAGAGCTGAACCTGCTTTCTTCCTCATCACAATCTCTATTTGCATTACTGTCTGACCGCTGCCTATACTTCCTAGGAGTATTGACTTCTCTCATTACGACACTATGCGAGTCGCTACTTCTAGCAGAATCTGGAGAGTCGCTGTAGTTTTTCATAAGACTAGAGTTGGTTCTAGATCGATACGAAACTCTGTAATTCGTGCTGTCGTGACTGTTCCTCATGGTACTACTTCTTGTAGTGGTTGTCGTGGTGCTACAAGTACCATTTCTATCACGCTTGAAGAGTCTGCGTTTCGTATGGGAACAGATCACAAACCCGTGTCTGAACTTTGAGCTCATTAGATTGTAGAGTATAGGATTCACAGCTGAATTGAGATATACCATGATTCTGCAGAAGTACAAAATGTTGTAGTACTTATCCACCCCTAAGTTGATGATGTCCTTCTCGGGTGCCACGATGATCCAAATCGTGAAGATTCTGAAGGGGATGAGGCATAAGAAAAAGCTCAAGACCACAGTGCCTAACATCAGGATGACCTGCCTTCTAGCCCTGACGGAATAGTTGTCAATGTGTTTGTTGAGCACTACAGTGGCTGCGTTAGCGATGAGGTTCTTCGCAATGATGCAGTAAAGTACGATTAGTGCGATGAATGGTACGATGAAGAATAAGACAATGCTAGTGAGAAAATACATGGCGGGCCAGAATGAGTTGGCTAATGTGTGGCATGCTGATACCTTGGTCCCGTCGAAGTATTCTATCTGTTTGAATTCGGCTATGTTAAGCATCGGGCTGGAAGAAATATGTATGTCATAACACAACGGGACATGTCTAAAAACGGAGAAGAAAAATAAATGCATGCGTATAAGGTCATCTAGAGGCGTTAGAGATACAAGTGACGAATGAATTCTTTTACAAGAGGGATACTCTCATACGCATTATTGTATTATACATAGTTAGCGCCCAAGTGATATAAATATTCTTCCTTGCCTTATTCTTGTGCAGTCTTGTATGTAAGTAAGCATTTTTTCAAGAAATAAGACAACGCAAAGCACAAAGCAAATAGAAGCACTGAACTCTTAGAAAATTATCGTACAAAAACATTAACGTTTGCCTTCTCAAAACTATTTGAGAAAATAACTTATAATAGAATGAATGATTTTGTCGAATCAGCACAGTATTCTATCTATTAAACAACATGGTTTTGGAACTGAAGCTAGCATCCTCGTAAATAAAATTAAAGGCTTTTAGAACTCCCGTAGATCAACGGATTCTGTCATTTATGTCAAACAGAATAATTCAGGTTAAGCTAGGTAGCCCTATCTCTAATCCACAAGGCATAAACTTCGGAGCACCTCAGGGTGGACTACTATCACCATTTCTGTTTTTGTTATTTTCGAACGATTTAGATGAACACATAATTGTTCATAATTGTCTCTTGGTTACCTTTGCTGATAACACAACAGTAATAGTATCAACAAAGTCGCTAAAGGATCTAGAAAGTGAAGCTGGAAGTGGGTTGTAGTAAATAACATAGGTTACTAATTAATGCAGATAAAGTCAAATACATCTTTTATCACAAACGAATACCGCATACATAACATCACAGTTACAATAAACAATAGGTCAGTGGAAAGAGTACCGAACATATCATTTTTGGGTCTAATAAGTAACGAAAAAAAAAACATTTATTGAACGTGTACTACTCTATCGTAAATTCTCACCTCCAATATTTAGTGCTATATTCTGTCCAGTCGAACGAATCCTTATCCTTCTAAAAAGAATAGTTAGACTATTATTCTCAGTGCTTACCATAGAATCTTGTCGAAAAACATTGAGAGATGAAAAAATACTAAAGTTAGCATAATTACTCATCCTAGAGGCGTGCCTTTCTGTAAAATCATATCCTTCCAATTTCACTTAAATAAAAGAGTCCCAGAGATATAATCTAAGGAATAATAACAACGTTACATTGAGAAACTAGAGCCCTGACTACCTACGTGAATCTTCAACAGTTTGCCCTCCGAGTTAAAAGCCTTCTACGACTTAAAAACCTTCAAAAAACATCTTTTTACAAACTTGTACCCTAAGTATTTTTACTCTCTGCAGGAGTTTATATTTTTTGATAATTCCATATTTATGTATTTCATCGACTATTTTATTTATTATATATTTATGCTGCATACTTTTTCCATTCTTTTATTTAACTATTTATATCTAGTTCTAAACAAACATTTAGTTATGTATACTTTTCTTTTGCTTATGTAAATCTCACCTTTTCATGTTGACGTTTCATACCCGCAAAACGATTTGAATAAAAGGTCTATTATTATTACTAATAATCACCAAAATCGACCACTGCTAGGAGTGCATAGCAGTTATTTGTTGGAACTGAAAAAATTTTTAAGTTCGCGCTTAATAGCGCACTTACCATTTGACCGCTAGATGGCTGACGATTCTGGCTATACAGGGTATTTCAAATTCGACTTTCACCATTGGGATTTAGGAAATTGAGAGATTCGAAGTCGCTTAAAGTTGCGTATTTAGGTAATCAACAAAATGTCGGTTAGTAAGTACTAAAAAAAAAATTTTTCCAAAATCTTTTTTCCTCACTCTATTTGCAGCGGAATATCAAAACTAATTGCACATTAATATTGCCACCGTCTGCACAAGACGGCATAATCAGAATTTCAATATGACGTTTCGTCTCTTGTCCTCCACCGAAACAAATGAAATTTGATAATTTCAAGGCCTGCTTAGGAACTTCTCTCATTCTGGAATAACTTAGGGCCGTATCGTCAGTGGTTCCTACAACTGTAGGATGCCTTTATGGAATTAAAAACTCCTTTCATCTGTGTAAAGATCCAATATGGCGTTTATAAGAAAAAATAAAGTTGATGCTGGAGGCCAAGAGACGAAAAGTCATATTGAAGCTTTAATTATATCAGAACATTGCCAGATTCAAGCGATTTCGTATCTCTAACAGATCTTAGACATCCCAATGGTTAGGGTCGAATTTGACACAACCTGTAGAGTAGATGTGGTCTGCTTACTACTGAACAAACTAAACATGATGCTTATGGCCGTACCACTAAAAGACAGCCAACCACATCTGATATAGGGTGTCCGCAAAGTTGGGGTTTTCCTTTTCAGATACAACTAAGCTTGATACAACAAAGCTAATGTGTGGTGAAACGTTCAGTTGAATTTAAATTCTAAGTACGGCTCTGTCGTAAAATCCGTATTTACACCGTAGTCGTACTTCGTTTAACTGTGGCGCTGTGGACGGGTTGCATTTTAACACTATGGTATAGGATTCGGCACCAGCCTTAATTTTATTGGTCAATTTTAATTTATTCAACCAATAACAAGCCGGGTGCCGAAATCACTACCGGAGTGTTAAACAGTGCTGAGCATGGGGTCAGAATGTTATCAATTTAAATTTAAATTTACTTACCTTCCGCTAAAAATATGTAAGATAATCATCAACACACGTTGTTTCCTATTACGATATTTAATGATTTTAAAATTAATAATTTGGTTTAGCAATAAGAAAAATTACATGAAAAATTTATATATATTTATATAGGTGAAAAATTAAAGCTTCCGCCTTTTGTTGGGTACTTCGACAAAATTTAAGCAAAGAGGACTCTTTATACTTTTTTAATTCTCTCTAGCTTTCAATGGACTTTGCCATCATCATCAGGAGCTGCAATTACAATGATAACAGTAGCAACAAAAGTGTAAAATTGGAGAACATATCTCCCCAAATTTCGACTCTTCACAACCATAAATAGAATCTGTGTTTTGGCCGATTCCACCAGTAAATTTCATTCCACTCAAAATATAATAATTCTCTTCTCACGATTTATTAATGATTGTTAATTCAAATTCCCATTAATTAAAATATAGTTTATTCAACTGCCTCTGGTCCGTTTAACAATTTCTTACATAACATCATTCTGAAAATCACATCATCTGAAGTGATTTGGCAACGTTTGGCACACGCCCACAATTCATTCCATCTTTCAACACAGACATTGACAACCTTCGGCCTTCTGTCAAAGGGTTTCATCTCACTCACTATTCCATGACCACCATTTTGTGCAATCATCAAGTGGCTTCACGATGTAATGCTCTAATGTTTTTTAAATAATTTTTAATCTGTTTTTAACTTGTTCTTGTCATATTTTATATAATTTTGACCATTGTACCATCTATCCAGCTCTCACCATGTTACTGGACGTTTCCCTCATCCCATACGTAAACAACAATTAGCAACATCCTCACATACTACTGTAAGTTGAGTCAATTTAAATTCATTTTACACTTTTGTTGCTACTGTTATCATTGTAATTGCAGCTCCTGATGATGATGGCAAAGTCCATTGAAAGCTAGAGAGAATTAAAAAAGTATAGAGTCCTCTTTGCTTAAATTTTGTCGAAGTACCCAACAAAAGGCGGAAGCTTTAATTTTCACCTAATATATATATATATATATATATATATATATTAGTAGAAGTAGTTTATTGATAACATTCTGACACTGTTTTCAGCACTGTTTAACATTCCGGTAGTGATTTCGGCACCCAGCTTGTTATTGGTTAAATAAATTGAAATTGACCAATAAAATTAAGGCTGGTGCCGAATCCTATACCATAGTGTTAAAATGCGGACGGGTTCGAGGAATAGGACAGGACCGGCTTCGGTCTGGTTCAGGTTTGATTGAGTTTGTGACCTGTGATGTTTTCGTTCGTTGTCTCAGATACGAGATACCAAGCATAAACCGTGCCAAATGACTATTCCTATATCGTACCGATAATTGGTAGAAAGCATGAAACGGTTGGCTATGGCCGCAAAGACGGAAAACAAACATATTCTATTCATGCTGTTTAAATCGTTTGTTCGGTTTAGTATGATCGTCTGCTTGCCCTCCTTGTTATTTGGCTGTTTACAAGCTCAAAGAAAACTACTATAATATCTTCTAATAATTCTGTTCATAATAGATTTCATAACCCGAGACAAGAAGTGCTGAATTAGATATTAATAGAAGTCGCCATCAAACCAAAATAAAATGGCATCATGATTCAACTGAGAAGCACAACGATTAAAATCACATAAAACTGTAGTAACTTTTGTCTTTGAGAGTGTAAAAGTGATATAAAATAAATGAAGTAAAAGTTAAATAACGGTTGCCATAAATAATTACTAATCTAGCCAATCTAGCGAAAATCGAACTAATTTACGGGGGAAAGTCACCAGAAAGTATATAGATAAGGTGTAAACTCATAGCCCCATACAGAGATTTACGGTAAAACGTCAGAAGAAAAGAAGATTAGAGCATGATCAATATGCTACTTTTTGTTTCTGAAGCAAGGTTAGTTTGTGTGGATTGAAACTTGTGTTTGACTACAAATAGATATATAGGTATCGGGTTTTCCAATAGGGACTAACTTTGAACTTTCACTGTGACCGCACCTTTAAATTAATTACTGAACTGCCAATGTCAAATCATTGGTCTATTTTTGTTTGGCCTCACAATGCGTTCAGCATAGTATTTGCCAATATTTACAAAGAAATCGTTAAACTTATTCGCAATTGTTATTGGCGAATCACATAATTTATTTTCATCAACTATTTCCTTAACTGCACATTTAGAACTGCCTTTACAGAGTTTATTAACTACTAAGTGACATATAAATCCAAACACCCAGTTTTAATGGTTTTATTTTAATAAAATTTTGTATAAGTACTTAATGAAGCATAATAAGTAAATGATAAAAATTTCAAAATGATT